ATAGCCAGGTGTCATGGTGGGTGCCTGTAGTCCCATCTATTTGGGAGGCTGAGGCAAGAAGATCACTTGAGCCCAGGAGTCTGAGGTTGCTGTGAGCTGTGATGCCAGAGCACTCTACCAAGGGCAAAAAACTGTGACTCTGTCTCAAAAAAAATAAAATATAAAGGTATGTTTAGGTATAATGTCTATGTATGGTGACTTTAGGAATAACTTTTTGTTTTGTTTTTTGCAGTTTTTGGCTGGGGCTGGGTTTGAACCCACCATCTCCAACATATGGGGCTGGTGCCCTGCCTTTGAGCCACAGGGGACACCCCTAGGAGAAACTTTTGGAACACCCTGTAGTTGTATTTGTCAATACAGTTTCAGTATATCCTTTAGTAAATGGAAGTGGTAATTTTCTGCATATTGCAGGGTTGTTGTAGATCAAACGAGATGATATATGGGAAATGTTTTACATAGCAGCATGTGTATTTAGAAATGCTTTATTTTCTGTCAGTTCAATTTTGTGGGGAAGATTCTTGGACCACAAGGGAATACAATCAAAAGACTGCAGGAAGAGACTGGTGCAAAGATCTCTGTGTTGGGAAAGGGCTCAATGAGAGACAAAGCCAAGGTAAGCTCTCATCAGTGAGGCAAAAGGACATCCACATGCTTTCTAGTTGCCCAAAATACAGTATGTGTGCCTTAGGGAAGTAAGCACTTTGTATATGTACAGAATGTGAAAGTGCATTGGATATAAGACAGTGGTTCTCAACCTTCCTAATGCTGCAACCCTTTAATACAATTCCTCGTGCTGTGGTGACCCCCGACCATAAAATTATTTTCGTTGCTACTTCATAACTGTAATTTTGCTACTATTATGAATCGTAATTTAAATATCTGATATGCAGGATGGTCTTAGGCGTCCCCTATGACAGGGTCGTGACCCACAGGTTGAGAAACACTGATGTAAGAGATCGTAGACCAAGTTAATTTATTTGCTTGGCACCCCTGGAAGAGCTTGGGTTGTGCTGTGGTGATTGTGTTCTTTCTGACTTTTGACTGCATAGTAATAGAAACTTTGGAATTGGTGGGATTTTCTGTGAAAACTTGAAAGGGGAGCTGTGTGTACTAAAATCCAGACCAGTGGTTCTCAACCTTCCTAATGCTGAGATGTATTTTCATTGTTACAAAGGGGTCACAACCCATAGGTTGAGAACCACTGAAGACTAATCCAGACCAAAGATACTAAAATGTGAACAGCACACCCCATTTCTAATAACATGCAAAGGTGAGAACAATAGTGTTGGGAGTGCAGGTGAGTTTGAAAATTAGTTGGTTTATTTTGTAACCAGCTGGAATGTGAAGCCCACTAAAAGAATGTATTCTAAAAGGAACCATGAGCTGTGATGCCATCGCACTCTACCCAGGGGGATAGCTTGAGGCTCTGTCTCAAAAAAAATAAAAACATAAGAAACCAGGCCTATTGTACCCATATGTACTTGTGGTACATGTCTGGTCTGTGAAAATTAGGTCAATTAGAGTTTCTACTGTAGTCTTAGGCGTCTAGGGTCAACTTTTTAGATAAGATGTGCCTGCTACAGTCTAAACTTGCTCTTTCAGACCTCTTTTTTATGTAACCTTGCTGACAAAAGGTGGTTTTCTCGATACACTTTTGTTCACTCACAGTTCTCACTAGACACATCCAGTTAAGGCTGAAGTATGTTATTCTAAGGTTTACATGAGCTTTTCTTCTCTCCCTCCTGACTTTTTTCCTCCCCTAGAACTCCCTTAGAATTCTGACTTCATGAAGTAGCAAAGAAAGTAATTTTATGGTTGGGGGTCACCACACATGAGGAACTGTATTAAAGGATC